ACATCAAATGATTTGCCCACCTTGGCCTCCCAAAGTGCTGGTACTAAAAGCATGAACCACCATGCCTAGCCAACACTTACTGAATATGAATTACGATTCAAGAGTCTGTTAAGTGTAGAAGATATAAGCAACAGGTAAATTTTAAACATTTATAAGAAATACTGCGGTAATCTTGCTATGATAAGGTATTATGAAAGCCTATAGGAAGGAGGTATTGTCTCAGTCCTAAAGGTTGGCTTTCAAGTAGAGTAGATTTTGAGATTTTACAGACAACATTGGTGAAATAGTTGAGAGCTGGTATACTCCTATTTATTCCTGTATCCTTATTGACAATCTAAATTTAAAGATAAGTGATACATGAATAAATTAAAAATAATAACAAAATGCTAGGAAATAACAAATTTAGATATGAAAAATAAAGGAATGCAAAACTCTGTTATTCTTTGTTTAATTTAGCATTGTTTCATAAGCATCTTTCTGTGACCTTAAATATAAAGCATAACATTTATGGCCTTCTACTTAATATGGTTAGGCACTGTGTCCCCACCCAAATCTCATCTTGAATTGTAATCTCCAGCTGTTGAGGGAGAGACCTGGTGGGAGGTGATTACATCATGGGGGTGGTTTCCTTCATACTATTATCATAATAGTGAGTGAGTTCTCACAGGAGCTGATGGTCTTATAAGAGGCTCTTCTCCCTTCTCTCACTCACTCACTCACTCACTCACTCACTCTCCTTGTGAAGAAAGTGCGTGCTTCCCCTTTTACCATAATTGTTTCCTGAGGCCTCCCCAGTCATGCCAAACTGAATAAATTAAACCCCTTTTCTTTATAAATTACCTAATTAAATACATAAGTAGATAAAACTACATAAAGATATAAATAATTGAGAGTGTGTCAGGTGGTAATTAGTGCTGAAGAAAAGTAAAATAGTACAGGGTTGGGAGCATTGGTAGGTTGGATGCAATTTAAAATAGAGTAGTCAGGAAATGCCTAATGGAGAAGGAGAGATTTTTGGAAAACTCTAAAAGAGGAAAGGGAATCAGACAAGTAAACACATAAGGGAAAAGTGTTTATAGGCAAAGGAAACAATAAGACCATATGCCCAGGCCTGGCCGTCGTATGAGATCACCCAGAATAGAACTCTGGTTGCTCCAAAGCTGATAAGGTAGAACCAGAAGAAAAGACTGATGAGGAAGGCCAGTGAGGGTGTGAGGAATACTGAAAGCCAGGTGAAGAACGTATTGTATGTCAGAGAATCACTGTGTCTCTTGCTGCTAAGTCATGTAGAACATGGACCAAATATTGATCATTTGGCTATGTGCCATCATTGGAGACAAGGACAAGAACACATGTGATTCCTATTGTAAGTTCAGGCAATATTAGAAAGAACTGAATTGGAGAGAGTGAGTGGAGACAATATTGAGAAAATTTGCTCTAAAGAGAAAGAGACCAATGAAGCTGTAACTGGAAACGAAGATGGAGGCAAGAATAAGCTTTTTTGTGGTGGTTGTTTTTTTGTTTGTTTGTTTTGGGAGGAGAAATTTGGCATATTTGTATTTGAATGAAAATATCCACTGAATAGGAAAATAATTGAAGATGCAGGGAAAAGGGGAAGAGTTGTTAAAGCAAAGTCACAGAATAAAGGAAAGGTAATCGAATCTAGGGTATCTAGGGTTTCTACCATTGGGTATCTTTTCCTCACCCTTCTTGGACTCTTTGTTTTTGTTCTAGTATTTATACAAGACACTACTATCGAAGAGGTATTGCAGAATTCCATTAAGCATTTTTCTGTTATTTAATTCTAAGTAAGTCACTGATAAAGAGACTTTAAATAATCTGTTTGTGGCAATTTGAAGATTCTTTACAAGATGTAAAGTTAACTTCATTTTCTTGTTTTGTTTATTTTGACGACTTGCATTGGAATAATTGAACTCAATATTACTTTATTTTATATGTTCCGCTTAGACATCCTTCCCTATTGAGAGTTAGTTAGAACATTTGCTTATAGTGAGTCATCTGCCTAGTTGAGATAGCTACCACCTATTGCTACATGACAAAGACAACAAAAATATAGAGATCTGCATAGTAATACAAAATGAGAGTATTTACTACCTGTGTATAATCATATCCAGAAAAGAATGCAGAATGAAAACATTTAAAATGAGATGGTGCATGCCTAGGATGGAGTTTCATTAGTCTAATTTGAATATAAATTCACAACTTAAGAAATGTGGGGGATTCCAAAGTTTGTTTTTAATTGATATTACAATCTCTCAGAGTCAAGAACAAGATGAGAGCTGATACTGCTGTGTATGTGGGGGATGTGTGCATATACATATGTACATGACTACATAGTCTGCATACATTTACAGTCAATATACGTACAGTATTCACATATTTGCATGCATTCTCATATGTGTGCAGATACATACATATATATTTGTATTTATGTTTTGAAGGAGAGACTCCTGATTATTCCTTTGAAGTATGACTATGATTTACTATAATTATGATGTTTGGTTTATTACCAGCTTCATTTATGGAACTAAAAGGCCATGGTTAATTAGTTCAGCTGAATAACGTATTGATTAACAAAGCTGTTTTTGTGTCTTTTTGAGACATCATTTAGGTAGCCTAAGAAAACCAAATCCTCTAAGAATTACATTATTTTCCTTTCTTGTGTTATTTCTAGGTGCTGATAAGCAAACTGTAGTTCCCCCCAGCCTAGATGCATCATCTACTTGGGAAATACTGTTCTAGACAAAAATCGTTAGAGTTCTGATTGATGCCCAGCATTTTAAGCAGTCTTCTTCTGAAAGGGAGATGCCTCCCTTTCAGCTCTGAATAAATATAACTAAGAGATGGTTATTTAGTTCATTTCTCATACAAAGGTTTTAAGAAATCCTGATCTTTTCACATTATGTGAAGATTGTTTCCTTAATACATGGGTCACAGGTGTTAATATAAGTGAAATATTTTCCACTTTTCTAAAGCTCTGCAGACCTTGAAACTGTTCTGAATATTGAGGTTTCAACAATTCATTTTTAGTGTTCATGACAATTGGGTATAGTAATTTTGGATGTGGCTATTTATTGAACAGGAGTGAAGGGTGACTTGGGAGTATAAGCTTTTTCTCTTATTATATTCAGTCAAGTATTACAGTCAAGTACTACAGTGGGCCCCAAGGTAACTAAAAAGTGAAAACTTACTCTCCAGGTTAAGATAAATATCCCATAGCTGCAACTATCTAATCATTCATTCTTTCATTCCATAGGTGTTTACTGGGCTTTCAATATAGATTGCTTTGTTTTCAGAGCTGTCTACTCACAAAAAATAAAGATGAAAAAATAAGATATTCAACAAAATGTTTCTGTTCCTATGTTGTGGTAAATTTTCTCTTCATTAATGCCTCCACAGAAAATTGATGAATTTAGTTCAATTTCAAAGATAGTATAAAATAATAGCAAATTTTAAATGTCATATCTATAGTGTATATTTTTCATTCCTAGTCATTTATGATACTATGTCTTATAAAATTTCCATACAGAGGTATTCTTATTTGTCTGAAATCATGAGAATGCTTCCTTCCTACTTGACTAGGATTATCTGCCCTATTTTCTAAGATAATCCATTTGGAACTTATAAAAATTTCTCTAAAATACATTTATCATTCGAAGAAAATCTTTTAAGATTGTTAACTCTAGTTTGACTTAAGGATTAGAAAGTACATTACTTCTTTCATAGCTTATTTTTGGAAACTTGATGGCATTGCAAAGCATGTGCCATTGTCAGGAGTCATAGTATGTGTTCACAATAAAATTAAATATGGAAAAATATGCATATAAATGTGTACAAATTTGAGAAAAACTTATTTTATTGATCATTTTCACATATGTATAATATGCCTAAAAAATATAAATCTCTACAAGTTTGTAGAGTTTCTTTTTCCATTTCAGTTGAAGGATTTTTTGTCCAGATGCACAAATACTTCTGAGATAAAGGAAGAATATGTCACAGGATCCAAAAAATCTTTATGAAAACCTAGCTCTTTTCTCTAGAGGCATGAGGTATATGGTCTGATGAGGGGGGTCTATTTTGCTGTTTATACACTGGTCATTTTTTCAGAGGCCATTTATTAAAGCAACAGACGGGGAGACATCCATTGTATTGTTTGCGTTCTGCTTACTACAAAATGTTGGAAGACTTGGAAAGCTCCACTAAAATAATTGGAGATCAAAGCCTAAGTCCAGTGTGACAGGAGAGAAAGGACACTCAATTTCACTGGAGGTAGAATGCTTCACCACAAAAAGCTTTGAAATAATCTTTAATTTGTATTTTTTTCCTAGGTAAACTGTTAGGTCAGTGGCTACACTTTAAGGTTTTTTACAAAATTACTTTTATATGAGTCTTCTAGTGACAGACCTTTTATGCTTGAATATATGGACAAGTTGTAAAAGTAACCTGAAATTTGATATCCTTTCTCATCAGCATCTGTTTATTTGTATAATGTTTATATACTGTAATGTACATATTTTCAAGAAGCAGGGTTTCTTTAAAACAAGCTTTTCCCTTGCTAGAGTGTTCTAATTTTTTGCTGTTGAGCATTTCTTGTCTCAGATTTTCTAGACCTATGTTGCCCTTGGAACATTTCTATTGTTGAATCACTAACAGCAGATAATGAATCACCGCCAATGTCAAAGGCAGAGTATTGCCCTAAAGATCAAATTTAATTCTTGGCCATGTTGTTTTGAGACTGATTATTTTCTCTTCCTCCCTCTCCTCTTCTTCATTTTTATATTATTATTTTTTTACTTAGAAGTGCTCCCACATCTTTGTATTTGACAGAAAGTTGTATAAAAGTCTAGACTTCGGGAAGGCAAAGAGCCAATCTCTTTACTTTTTTGACCACAAGAATGTGCAATGTCATCTTTTAACAAACAAGAATTGTTTTCAGTAACATGAATAAATCTGTCAGATAAGATTTTAGGAGGTGTTTTGGGAAGTATTTCAATTTTATTTATTGTTCATTACTTATGATAAATTTAGCACTTACACACAGGAGTCTTTTTCTGAAAAGCACTTAACAGATTTCTTTGACTTCTCCCAATAACCCTGTAAGAAATAGAAATAGAGTATTTATAACCTCTACCTCACAGGTGAAGCTGCTGAAACCACACATTTATACTCTTGTGCGATTTGCTCTTGAAAAGAAATTTCTTCATGTTTGGAAGATTCACTACTGCTACTCTCTTGGAGGCAAAAAAAAAAAGAAAAAAAAAAAAAACAAAGGTTACTAATACTCTGAAGCTAGTGGACTGAACTCAAACCTCCTTATTAAGGGCATTTATGCCACTTAGAGGGACTTGATCACATATTCCTGTTTGGATCCCTGTCAAGTGGGGTTTGGAGTGTGGATTTGTGGATTGTGGATTGACCGACATGTGGATTGTGAACTGACTTTCCCCTCCTTTGAGATCCTGTGTGGCTGAAGCTTTTTCTATGAGATGATTCATGGTTACGGTATAAAAAGAAGTACAGCTATGACATTGCTGTTTTGTAAAACTCTTTTAATATTGAAGTTGGCATTTACACTCATGCACAATTCTCTAAGGATTCAGTGCCTGTGAGTTTTTCTAAGCTTTGTATTTTATCTTTTAATCTGCTTTTTATTGTAGAACATGCAGAATATTTGCAGATTCAAACACCCTTAAATTAAAAGAGTGGTATTCATTTCAATGTTATAAGTTTAAATTTTGGGAGCATTTTTCTGATAAATAATCATATCCCATCCAATTTTCCAGAGATGCCACAAGTTTCATTAGTAGCTGCTTTTCATTCATTAAGGACTTACTCTTTTGGATAGACAGTTTCCCAAGCACCTTTCCTAATCCTTTCCTATTTAGATCAGCACAGGCCCAGGTGTGAATTCTTAGAACACAGAAGGTATAATGCCTCATAACTGAGGCCAAATGGGCCTTCTGGACCAACATGGAACACACAAGTTTTCCTTTGGTGAAGGGAGAAAAATAAAATAGACCTGTCTTAGCTTGAGCTGCTGTAACAAGATACCATAGACTAGGTCACTTAAACAACAGACATTTATTTTACATAGTTCTGGAGACTGGAAAGTTGGAAATCAGGATGCTAGCATGGTTGGGTTCTGGTGAAGACCCTTTTACAGCTTGTAAACTGCCACTTTCTTGCTATATTTTCATGTGGCAAAGCAAGAGAGAGGAAGTAAGGGAGATCTCATGTTTCTTCTTATAAAGGCACTAAACTCATCATGAAAGTTCCACCTTCATGATCTAATTACTGCCTGACTGTTTTTGTTTCCCCAAAATTCATATGTTGAAACCTAAAGCCCAGTTTGATGCTATTTGGAGGTGGGATAAAACCCTTTTGGAAGTGAAGCCTTCCCAAATGGGTTTAATGCCCTTACAGGAAGAGGCCAATGAACTAGCTAGCTGTTGTTTTTCTTTTTTCTTTCTTTTTTTGCCACATGAGGCTACAACAAGAAGTCAGCAGTGCTGGTAAGGCCCTTACCAGAACCTGGCCATGCTGGTACTCTGACATCAGATTTCTTACCTCTGGAACTGTGAGTAATAAACTCTCTTGTTTGTAAGGGATCCAGGCTATTATACTTGGTAATAGCAGCCCAAACAGACTTAGACATCACCCCAAAGCCCCATCTTCAAATACCATCACACAAGGGTTAGGGCTCCAATGCATTAATATATTGAAGACACAATTAAGTCCACAGCAAGACCCAAAAATATGTTAAACTAACCATTAGCCATGGTAGTGGCCAATTACCAGGCTTCCACTTGGCCGCGATCTATGCTGAGTACTGTTGTAAGTCTCTTGCTTTAGAAAGCAAGTTTCTTACCCACTTCTCTGTGTTTTTACTGTGGGTCTGTCTATTGCCAGATCTTTTTCTGTTTCAGTGAAGTCAATTTTTAATATAAAACAAAATAGTTTTAACATTAAATGGTGCTTTGAAATTATTTGTGAATCCAAAGCACTGTACATCAGATATACTTTCAGTAGAAATAGGAAATTAAAAGCATAATGCCTATAGTCCTATTGCATTCATTCTATCATGGACAGATTTTTATCACAAAAAAATGTAAGGAAAGAGATGCTAGTAAGCACTGACTTGTCTAAGCTGAGAGATCGTATAATACTATTAGTCAAGTAAATGATGTGGCACAATTGAAGGTGTGTTTCTAAGCATGGTAGATTCAAAGTTAAGAAAGGATATATAGTCATAGGAAAATATCCAGAATACATTAATCTATTTTTTGTACTAGCCTAGCTCAGATGACAGTATTGAAAGACAGAAATTCTTTGATAGGCAACGAAAATGGAGGAGAAAGACCATATAAAAGAAATGAGAGACTGTAAGTATGATACAAGTTATAACTTCAAACATAAAGATGAATTTAATGGCTGTGGCAGGTTGCTACTCAGTATTAAGTATGTCCAAACAAATTAAAAATTCACTTTACCCAGCCTTGAAGATATATGGACTACCTGAAGAGCAATCTGTACTCAGTAATCTTAATTCTAAACATGTCAGGAAGAAGTTATCTCATAATGTGAAAAACCATAAAATCTGCTTTCTGATAATATATTATGCTCGTGTATTTCCATGTGTTTTCAAATATAGATGGTTGGATGGATAGATAGATATGGTTTGGCTGTGTGTCCACACCCAAATCTCATCTTGAATTGTATTTCCATAATTCCCACGTTATGTCAGGAACCTAGTGGGAGATAATTGAACCACAGGGTCTTTGCCATGCTGTTCTCATGATAGTTATATCTAATGGTTTTAAAAATGGGAGTTTCCCTGCACAGACTCTCTTTTTGCCTGCCACTATCCATGTAAGACTTGACTTGAACTTCTGCCATGATTATGAGGCCTCTCTAGCCATGTGGAACTATAAGTCCATTAAATCTCTTTCTTTCCATTCTCCAGTATGTCTTTATCAGCTGCATGAAAATGTACTGATAAAGTAAGATGGTACCCACAGAATAGGACATTGCTGAAAAAATATCTGAAATGTGTGGAAGGAACTGTGAAACTGGGTAACAGGCAGAGGCTGGAACAGTTTAGAGGTCTCAGAAGAAGACAGGAAAATGTGGGAAAGTTTGTAACTCCCTAGAGACTTATTGAATGTCTTTGACCCAAATGCTGATGATATAGTCAATGAAATACAGTCTGAGGTGGTCTCAGATGGAGATGGGGAACTCGTTCAGAACTAGAGCAAAGATCTCTCTTCCTATGTTTTAGCAAAGAGACTGGCAGCATTTTGCCCCTGCCCTAGAGATTTGTGGAACTTTGAATTTGAGAGAGACAATTTAGGGTATCTGGTGAAAGAAATATCTAAGCAGTGAAGCATTTAAGATGTGACTTCGCCTGAACCCGGGAGGCGAAGTTGCAGTGAGCTGAGATTGTGCCACTGCACTCCAGCCTGGCGCCTGGTGACAGAGTGAGACTCTGTCTCAAAAAAACAAACAAACAAACAGATGTAACTTGGGTGCTGTTAAAGGCATTCAGTTTTAAAAGGGAAACAGAGCTTGAAAGTTTGGAAAATTTGCAGCCTGACAATGTGATGGAAAGGAAAGTCCCATTTTCTGAGGAGACATTCAAACCAGTTACAGAAATTTATATAAGTAACAAATAACTAAATGTTAGTACCCAAGGCAATGGGAAAAATATCTCCAGAGCATGTTAGAGACTTTTCTAGCAGCCCCTCCCATCACAGACCCAGAAGGTTAGGAGGAAAAACTGGTTTCATGGGTGGGGCCAGGGCCTCCATATATGCAGTCTAGGGGCTTGGTGCCCTGTGTCCCAGCTACTCCAACCATGACTACAAGGGGCCAAAGTATAGCTCTGGCTGTTGCTTCAGATGGTGGAAGTCCCAAGCCTTGGAAGCTTTCATGTGGTGTTGAGCAGAAATTAAGAATTGGGGTTTGGGAATCTCTGCCTAGATTTCAGAAGATGTATGGAAATGCCTCAATGTCCAGGCAGAAGTTTGCTGCAGGGACTGGGCTCTCGTGGAGAACCTATGCTAGGGCAGGGTAGAAGGGAAATGTGGGTTTGGAGTCCCCCATGCAGAGTCCCTACTGGGGCACCACCTAGTGGAGCTATGAGATGAGGGCCACTGTCCTCAAGACCCCACAATGGTAGCTCCATGGGCAGCTTGGACTGTGCATCTGGAAAAGCCACAGATACTCAGTGCCAGCCTGTGAATGCAGCTGGGATGGAGGCTGTACCCTGCAAAGCCACAGTGGCAGAGCTGCCCAAGACCATGAGAACCCACTTCTTGCATCAGCATAACCTGGATGTGAGACATAATTCAAAGGAGATCATTTTGGAACTTTAAGTTTTAACTGCCCTGCTGGATTTTGGACTTGCATGGGGTCTGTAGCCTCTAAGTTTTGGCCAATGTCTCGCATTTGGAATGGCTGTATTTACTCAATTCCTGTACCCCCATTGTATCTAGGAGGTAACTAACTTCCTTTTGATTTTATAGTCTCATATGCAGAAGGGACTTGCCTTGCCTTGGATGAGACTTTGGACTGTCTGAGACTTTGCCTTCTGACCTAATGTTGAAGTGAATTAAAACTTTGGGAGACTGTTGAGAAGGAGTGGTTGGTTTTGAAATTGGAAGACATGAGATTTGGAAGGAGCCTGGGGAGGAATGATATGGATATGGTTTGGCTCTGTGTCTCCACCCAAATCTTATCTGGAATTGTACTCCCATAATTCCCATATGTTGTGGGAGGGACTTGGTGGGAGATAATTAAATCATGGGGTGGGTCTTTCCCATGCTGTTCTTGTGATAATGAATAAGTCTCACAAGATCCAGTGGTTTTAAAAATAGGAGTTACTCTGCATAAGCTCTCTTTTTGCCTGCACCATAAGACTTGACTTACTCTACGTTGCCTTCTACCATGATTGTAAGGCCTCGCCAGCCGTGTGGTACTGTAAGTTCATTAAACCTCTTTTTCTTCCCAGTCTCAAGTTTATCTTTTTGAGAAGTATGAAAACAGACTAATACATATGTATATTTTTTCTAGATATATACTTCTATATATATATA